CCGCGCCCGGAGGCCGCGCCAATGCTCTGGGAAGTGCCCGGCTCGGGAGCGGAGCTGCCGCTCGGAAGAACCTCGGGTCCTGGCGCGCCTGAACTTAAAGACCGGACGGAGAGTTAAATGTGCGAGAGATGTGCCTTTTTCTTAGGAAAGACCACCGGGTGCCAGAAAGGTTTTCGACGCGCCGACCTATGGGGCTAAGAGGGCTGAAGTAAGAACCAGTGACCGAGCGCCCGGAGGTGAAGCTGATGGAAGATGTTCATCGCTCCGGACCCTGCTGGAGGTCTGGGGACGTCGGACACAGCCCCTGCGGTCCCGCCGCGGACCCCGTGATAATTACGCAGACACACAAAATCACTACCGCCTTGAGTCTGGACAGCTACCTCAGGTTGTTAGTATCTTACAGGAGCAGAGCGGAGCTCGGACCGACTTAGTGTGCGTGCTGGGTTCCGGCGCCCCCGGCCCGCCACCCAAGTCAGCATCGCAGCCACGCAGGGAGGCGGCAGTTCTGTCTACGGAATGACTACATCTGGTGATTCCACTTCTCATAGCTCGCCGCTGGGAGGAAAATACCACCTCGGGACTCACAAGATCTATTCCAGAGGATCCGCACTGGTGAATTGATTTTAGAAGACAGTGTGGTCTGTTGACAGTATGGAAGGTTCTTGACCCATTAGATATGATCTGTCTGTGATTGGAAGGAAACAGACCAGATGCTAACACTTCTCTGTGGATGTTCAGATTCAGTAATTTTTGTATTTTTCTCTACGCTTTTGTTTTTTCAAATTTCCTAGCACAGGAAGACTTTGACTTACTGCGCATGTCATTTTAAATGACCTTTATAAAGACTATAGAAACAATTTGCTATGTCATGAAAGTAACAATCAAATAAAGTATGCACATTGTGGCCACAAAGTAAAACTTGTGTGGAAGGTAATGTGCAAAAAAAAAAAAAAAAAAAAAAAAAAAAAAAAATGAGTAAGCTGGTGGTGAATGGCCAAAGGAAAAGACTTGGTAAAAAAACTTTTAAAAAGATGGTACTAGTGGGCCGGGTGCGGTGGATTCCAGCACTTTGGGAGGCCGAGGCGGGCGGATCACGAGGTCAGGAGATCCAGACCATCCTGGCTAACACGGTGAAACCCCGTCTCTACTAAAAATACAAAAAATTAGCCTGGCGTGGTGGCGGGAGCCTGTAGTCCCAGCTACTCGGGAGGCTGAGGCAGGAGAATGGCATGAACCCGGGAGGCAGAGGTTGTGGTGAGCCAAGATCGTGCCACTGCAC